AATTCTGGAGCTGACTGGAAATCTGGTTCCCTCCACCATAGAGTTTCCTCCTAGCGCAGCATCCTTTTTCCTCTACATGTCCTAACTGAAAGCCGTATCAATTGTGGAGCTGACCGGCGATAGGGAGCCGCAGCAGAGGGATGAAAGAGCCACATGCAGCTCCAGAGCCACAGATTGCTGACCCCTGGACTAGGCCATGCTCACCATGGCTATGTCCACGCCCAGGCAGCAACTGGGCAGAGAACCCCTTGCTAAAAATTTTGAAGCCCACCCCTGTCTAATTTTATGATGCCGTGCTTCTAAATTCTGTTAGCATTGCCTTTGAGCTGATCTTTTGCTTACGTGCTACTGAAGGAGACTGCAATCATCTCCACGGCTTTCTCAAATTCACGTTTTTCAGCTTCGTGGTTAGACTCATAGTGGAAGCCTAAAAAAATGCAGATGGAAAAGGAAACCTTGACATTCTTCCCAACTCATCAATCTTAAAAGGCATCCTACAGGATACACAGTGCAACTGTAGAGCTGTAGCCCAATAAGACTGTACATTTCTGTGTGTTTTCCAAGGCTGCCCATGTGGGGGCTGGGGGTGGAAAGGAAAAGGAGCAAGGCAGCACTTCACGGCAATACAATAAAAACATCTTCCGTGGAGGGGAGGGGGGAAGAATCATTTAGAAGAATAATTATAGCTTTCCCCTTGTTCTTTCATTTTGCAAAGCAACAACCCTAACAGGCTTTTGGATCTGTCATTCAAATCCTACCCTGTTTCCCCAAAAATAAGACCTCCCTGGATAATAATAAGCCCAATCGGGCTTTTGAGTGCATGCACTAAAATAAGCCCTCTCCTAAAAATATTGCAACACAGCAGCAGCCATGAGGTAACCACACTCACCACCTCCTGCACCTCAAAAATAGTAAGACCTCCCTGAAAATAAGCCCAAGTGTTTATTTCGAGGGTCAAAAGGGTCTTATTTTCGGGGAAACACGGTATCACATGGGAACTGTACTGATGCAGAATTATAAGTGGTCCTTGATTTACAACCATACCTTTAGTGACCAGTAGAAGTTATAAAAGCACTAGAACTTTGTTATTATATACGTTGACAGCATCAAGACTATTTTAGGCAGAAAAATGGAAGAACACTTCGATTCCTACCCCGGACGAATGGTCGTAGAAGCTGATGGAGTTGGCTGAAATTGACTATTTTGATTAAAGAAAAGAATATAAATACTTTTGTTTCCACACGGAGACCGCTTCTGAACTTTGGGCTTGAGGTGTAAAAGAGTGAAACTTTAATTTTGGGTTTTAGCGATTAGACTGATGGATCCGTGTAGAAATGGCTAATTTATATTATTATGAAAAAACCAAAAAGTTGTGATTTGATGTTAATGTCTTATTTTAAGGCAACAGCGAACGTCAGAAGTCAATGCTTTGTTTTCTTTTTCCTAATCCTTCCCCACTGTTCTTCCTCTCCCATGTTTTCTATCTACTTTTGTATTTTGTATCTTATTTTACTTTTTGCCCAATAAAAATGTTAACGATGAGAAGTCACAAAAGCACTGAAAACATTGACTTATGACTGGTTCTTGCACTTAACAATTGTCGCAACATCCCCAAGGGGACATGATCAAAATTGGGGTGCCTGACAACCACCATGTAGTTATGATGGTTGCAGTATAACTTGTGGTTATTTCCAACAAGCTTCTAACAATCAAAGTCAATAGGGGAAACCCAGATTTGCTTAATGACTGCATATTCACTTAAAAATTATAGTGAATCACTTAACATCGGTAGCAAAAAAAAAAGTCATAAAATCAGGTGCCACACTTAACCACCATCTTGATCTGAAATGGGGTCATAAGTCGAGGATTAAGAGCCGTGATGATGCAGTGCTTAAGAGTGCAATACCACAGGCTACTTCTGCTGACTGCTGATTGCCAGCAGTTTGGCAATTCAAGTCCCACCGGCTCAAGGTTGACTCAGCCTTCCATCCTTCCCAGGTGGGTAAAATGAGGAGCCAGATTGTTGGAGACAATAGGCTGACTCTGTAAACCCCTTAGAGAGGGGCTATAAAGCACTATGAAGCGGTATATAAGTAAACACTATTGCTATTTGTTTGACCTTAGTGAAAAGAGGCAGAAACTTCAGGTCTGAAAAGAGGTGCGTGTCAGTTACAAGCAACCATAACAGTTCCAAAAATCCTCAGTTCCTGCCTGCCTCCTTCTCCCTACAGAACAGGTCCCACCGGCTCAAGGTTGACTCAGTCTTCCATCCTTCTGAGGTGGGTAAAATGAGGACCCAGATTGTTGGGGGCAATAGGCTGACTATGTAAACCGCTTAGAAAGGGCTGTAAAAGCACTGTGAAGTGGTATATAAGTCTAAGTGCTATTGCTATTAGCTTTATGGAGGGATCTGTGGCAACAATTACATCACACTAAAGAATTTACGCAAAACCAATATTTTGGTCGTAGAAAAGGATCCTGGGACAGAACCATCCTTGCACGAGTCATTCTTTGAGACTGACCCATAATCCCTGGGAAACTGAAGTCCACTTTAATATTTGCTTGGGGCAGGGGGGATACACTATCACTCAATTGCCTAGGGTTTTTCTTTCTCCAAAGATCACTATGGCAGATGTCATGCACATGAAGCTTCTCTTATTTTTGTGGTTAAACTGTTCAGGAGACAGGAAACCAAGCCAGCAACAGAAAGCAAACATTTTGGTTCTGCGGAGCTACAGAAGCTGCCATTCTCTGCCTACCACTTCCTCCTCAGCTACGCTGATATGATTCAGAGCACAAAAAAGTCAATTCCTCTGATGCCAAGATATTTTGAAGAAAGGTGAGGCTCAGGATGAAAAATGAAAGTGTCTCACCTCTGTAAATACTCGTATGTGCCATAGTAAAGAATTATTTTGGCAATTCACAGAATCGTTTAGAGCAGGAGTGTTCAACTTTGGCCATTTCAAGACTTCTGGATTTCAACTCCCCAAATTGAAGTATAGGTGGCTGGGGAATTCTGGGAGTTGAAGTCCATGAGTCTTAAAGGACCAAGATCTTCTGCCTGGAATCCACACTGTTTATCAGACATTAATACAATTGAGCGGGTCCAGAAGTATTTCACAACAAGAGTACTCTCCTCCTCTGCTCACAATAGAATCCCTTACACCACCAGGCTCAAAATGTTGGACTTGGAGAACCTGGAACTACGCTGTCTATAGTCTGACCTAAGCATAGTACACAGAATTGTCTGCTACAACATCCTACCTATCAACGACTACTTCAGCTTCAACCCCTTAATACATGGGCAAAGAATAGTTACAAGCGAGCGAACTGGTAGTAAAAAAAATGGAAACCCACCACTGGTATTTATGATGGTTCAAGTATCCTGGGGTCCTTTATTGTCATTTGCAACCTTTTCAGGAGCTTCTGACTAGCAAAGTCAATGGGGGAAGGCAGAGTTCGCTTAATGACCGCATGATTCACTTAACTGTACTGATTTCGCTTAACAATCATGGCATATAAGGTGGTAAAATTGGGTATGGCTCACTTAACAACTGCCTTACTTAGCAATGGAAATTTTGCGTCTAGTTGTACGCATAAGTTGAGGACTACCTGCATAAAAATAAATGTACTGTCCAAGAAGAGTGAATTAAAATACCGGCCAAACAAAATTTGGCTTGGGGGACAGTAGCTGACGTCGGAACGGTATGACATGCAATCTCGGAGCTCTGAGATCGCAGTCGATTTTTTTGCCGCTGGACGGTCCTTTTGGACCTAAACCATCCCGAAGAGATGGTGACAGGGAAGAGTACGACATGTTGATCTCAGGGACATCGCAAAGTACCTGATTGATCCAAGAGAATCTCTTTTTGCCGGCTACAAAAGCGCAGCCAAAAGCTGCTTAAGTTGGGACAGCTCCGCAATGGGAGAAAAGCGGAAAGAGAAAGTGTGTCCATCTGGTGTGGAAATGTTATTGTTATAAAAGAGACTGCCCCCCAAAAAATCAAAGCTAAATTAAACTTGCAAAGAAAAGAAAATAAGCGGCGAAATTAAGCTATATTGGACAGTGTGTTATCCTTTTTTTTTCATTTTCTTTTATGGGTGGAAGTTTTGCAAATATTTTCTATTTTTTAAAGTGAAAGTATTGGTTTTTCTTTTTCTATTTCTTTTTTTTACCTATGGATTAAATA